GCATTGTGCCTACATATGCAAATTAACCGCCATCTTTCTTGGCAGTTAATTTGCATATCGCCCTGATTAGCCAATGGGAAGTGTAGCGAAGGTACGGTCAATTACCATGTTTGTCTATTATTAGATAGGATATAATTGAAACTTTCTTGCCTTGAGCGGAGCCCACAGCCAGCCAGAGCAGGCTGGAAGCTTGGCTTTCTCCATCACAGGGGCAACCAAGCCTCCTGCTTGCTCCAGCTCCGTGCTTCCAGCTGCCATCTTGATTGGGTTAATTTGCATATAGTCACTCTGATTGGCTGGTGGGCATGGCTTGTGAGTGTAGCGGAGGTACAGTCAATTTGGATGTTTCTCTTTTATTAGATAAGATAATCAATACAACAAAGTATTTTATTTAATTTTTGTAACCAATTCCCCAAGGACAGCATTTCCTCCTCCAGGACTAATCTCTTTTTTGTTGAGATAATTGATTTTCTTTCATTTTGGGTCCATTATAAGAAAATACTATGTGTGTATGCCAAATGAGAGGGTCTAGTATTAATATGAGCATCTTTTGTAATGTAGACACGTGTAGTGCATCTGGAAGCTCTATCCAAGTCTAACATCATTCTTCAATACTTCTTCAAAATCTGGGGAATTAATACTTCTCATAAATTCTTTGTGTTTAAATTGGTATACAAATTTGGAGAATAATTTTACATTACCTTAACTGACTCAGCAATTCTCTTCCTACAAATTTAGTTAATAGTTAGGAAGTACACAAATATGCATGTATATACAAGGATTCTCATTGCAGCATTGTTAGGGGCAGCAAAAAAGTGAGAAATTCCTAACTGTTAAACAACACTGGTTAAACAGAATGTACAGGTATGTGCTGGCATAGAAAGGTGTTCATAAAATATTAAGTAAAAAAAGCAGGGCCTAGGATAGTACAACTCCCATTTCTATTTTTAAAGAATGTATCAGATATACATTTTTGGATAGATGTGGTTTCATATGCACAGGAAGCCTCTGGAAACTTACACAGGGACTCTTAATGCTTACCTAAAGGAGAGAGGGCTAGGGGTTGGAAGGCAGAGTTTCTCACTTTGAATTTTCCTTACTATATGCATTTTTTACTTTTAAAGTACAAAAAATAGTATTTAACAATAATCATTCCTCAAATTTAACCAGGTCAAACTTATATAATTAAATCCAGCTTCAAATAAAATGTCTAATTGCCTCAAGCCTGCCAAGATAACATAAGCCACTTAGCAACGATACAAAATGATAAGAGCAGGCAAGTGGCCAAACCCTCCTAGCCCACTATAGTGGGCTAATTAAGGATAAGAAGTATGCTAAATGTTTTAGGCACACCACAAGTTAGTAATGCAGGCTCTGCAGTTGTGAGAGGTCTAATATATGTGACTTGCACGTGAGACTAGCCCATGTGGCACTTTTCAAAATCTTACACTTACCTCACTTGCCTCCCCTTGCAAAATTCTGACAAAAATAACCCAGGGAACTTTTAGAATGAGAAAACTCAAAATGTGTGGGCCACCTTGGAAAAGAAATCATTTATGAGATGATGAGTGTGCAGAATAAAGCTGTACCATATTAGTAGAGAACTTAGTAAA